AAGCAGCCCTGCGGAGAAAGACTTGGGGGTGCTGGCTGCTGAGGAACTGAACATGAGCCAGCTTCAGTGTGCGCTTGCAGCCCAGAAACCAACCGTATCCTGGGATGCATCGAAAGAAGCATGACCAGCAGGTCAAAGAAGGTGATCCTGTCCCTCTACTCTGCTCTCATGAGACCTCGCCTGGAGTATTGTGTACAGTTCTGGTGTCCTCAACATAAAAAGGACATGGAGCTGCTGGAGCAAGTCCAGAGGAGGGCCACGAGGATGATTAGAGGGCTGGAGCACCTCCCTTATGAAGACAGGCTGAGAAAGTTGGGGCTGTTCAGCCTGGAGAAGAGAAGACTGCATGGAGACCTCATAGCAGCCTTCCAGTATCTGAAGGGTGCCTATAAGGATGTTGGGGAGGGACTCTTCATTAGGGACTGTAGTGGTAGGACAAGGGGTAATGGCTTTAAACTTAAACAGGGGAATTGTAGATTAGATATAAGGAAGAAGTTCTTCACAGTGACGGTGGTGAGGCACTGGAACAGGTTGCCCAAGGAAGCTGTGAATGCTCCAACCCTGGTGGTGTTCAAGTCCAGGTTGGACAGAGCCTTGGACGACATAGTTTAGTGTGTGGTGTCCCTGCCCATGGCAGGGGGGTTGGAACTAGATGATCTTAAGGTCCTTTCCAACCCTAACTATTCTATGATTCTATAACTGTTCCAAGTACGTACGAATTCTAGAGGCCAACTGAGTCTTCTGCACCCCTCAAGCATCACGCAAATTTATTATCATCAGAGACAGATTTAGGAATGCTTGTAAGAGGGGGCAATAAGCAGAATTTTGTAGATTAAAGGAACAGACAAGCCTAAGGCTTTCATGACCACTGTTAGGAGAGACATATGGCAGTGGATAGAACTGCAAAACACTGCACGAATACAGTTTATTAACTGCTGTGTTCTATTTATTAACCCACAGTTGTGGCTTTTCCCCTTCTGTCATTGGTTACTCACACCAAGGTAAAGATGCTAAACAGAGACTCCTCAAACAGTCAAAGGGTACCCCAAATTTCTATTAAAGACTCCATCAGCATAAAGAGTATCCTATGGAAGGGACTTTATCAGGTGTTAAGAGACAAGGCAAGTATTACTAAACTACATTCAAAGTCTTCAAGAACATTCTTAGAGAGTTGGAGACTTTTAAAATCAGTTCCTGCTTGCAGCAATGAGTTTTTATCCTCTAACTTTGTTAGTTTATCCAATGCTACATTCGAGGTTTATTATATAGTTTAATACTATTTTTTATAAACTTGTAAACAACGGAGTTAGGATTCTGTGTGAAATCAAGCACTGTTAATTTACATGCAAGCTATCTTACTAAATGCTAAGGTAGTCCAAGCAACAAGTAGCATTTTTAAAATTAATATTAGGATTCCCCATTTCACAGCTAGTTGCTTACTAGTCCTTGATGATCCAATAAAGCTAGAAGACAAAGTATTTTAACATAAAACCATTCTTCCCTCCAACAGAAATGCCTTGCAACATTACTTCAGACATGGATTTGGTAGCTATCAAACAACATTGTTTCAGCAAAGCAGTCTCATTAGCTACTTTTGAACACAAAGATAAAACACTTTGGCTTTGCAACTCCCTGACCCACTTCTTTCCAGAAGGCTCTATGCGGTAATTTTGTGTGTTTGCCTCAGTCTTCATTCTCCCTTCCCCATTCAAATCCTGCTGCATCCAGAATGTAAGAGGATCCTAGCTAAATGGGCTTGTCTCCTAATTTGGAACACCCATTTCTCGCTTGTGAAAAACGAGAGCAGTAGCTACTTCAAAGATTTAAAGCACTAGACTCAAGCTGAACTGCTTTAAAGCACACCTGAGTCAGAGTCCTCTCATAAAAGACATGTGCTTTCAAACATACTTTCAAGTTCAGGAGCAGGTTAAATTGTCCATATAGTTACTACCTTGAGTTCCTGCTAACAGGCTTCAACTAAGATTTCCATTTTGAATGCTGTGACATAAGTAGCAGCTGCCTTTCTGGGCTTATGTACAGACAAAAGTTGCATGTTACCACTCTCCAACACAAAGAACAACTTACTGATGTCTTCTGCACAGAAAAAAAATGCCTGAATTGTCAGGCCTGTCCTTAGGGGCTTGGTCTGAGGGATAGGAATGAATGCTGTTTCACTGCTAATAGGGTTGTATGCCAATTCATGTGACAAAAAGGAAGAAAACCAGAGATCAAGTACTACCAGAACCACTGCTCACATTAGATTAGCATCCTAAATCACAGCAGCACCCCAAAGGCTGTATGACACCACTCATGTACAGGCTGCAAGCTAAGAAGAACTAAGAAGAGAGGGGTATTCAGTTTTCATATAGGACTCATTTTAATTTTGAACACTGCCCAAAGGAACAAGCCCAGTGCTTTTGTCTCCACAGGGCAGTACCATTACAGGTGAGTGGTTACAAATGTTACAAAACTTCTTTTTGCTCAGATAAATTGCAACTTTAACACTTGTATTTTTTTTTTTCCAACTGTGTAAATCTTTAGATCTTTCCAGTGTTACAAGACCTTCTCTGGCTAAGAGACAAAGGTACCTGTGGTTTTGGAAAAATTTTCAAGTGAAGCTTTGTCCAGTATGCAGAATATTTGGGAAGAATTACAAACAACTACTTTTGGTCACCGCTTGGCACTTAGAAACGCACACAAGACACAAGAATGGATTTCAGGGACCTTCTTCCTTTCCTGAAATCCCAGGTTACTAGGTTTCTAGGTCTCTCATAACTTCCAAACCCACCACCAAAGAGAGGCACTCCTAACAAAATGCAACAAACATATTTAGGAGTCACAAGAATCAGGAGGGCAGCAAAGCGCTAACAAACATGGGCATACCTGGTCAGTTTTGGCTGTCTCAGTCCCACAGATGCTACTTAGATGACAGCAGTACACTTCTTCACCACTTTTGTACTCCCAGAGTCTCAGAGTTGAGTCCTGGACAGATGGAAGGGGACACAAGCATATTACTAACATCACCTCAGGCAAAGAGAGGCTGCTTGCAGCCTTCAGCTACATCCTATTCCCCTGAGGAGCTTCCCACATTAAGACCTCAAATTGCAGATAAAGCATTTTAATTAACATAATTATCCCCCTCCATTCTAAATTATTCAATCATGCTAACTTTAATTCTCCTTTTGAAGTGGAAATTGTGTAGCTGGAGGAGTGCATTTTAAGTCTGTCTCAAAGAGCAAAGCAATACATGTGCTCAGCATTTTAATGGCAATTCTTTCAGGTTACCCTTCTCTGCCCCTACCCTTGTTATCACCCAAATTCTCATTTGATTTAATAATCTTCTGGAAAGAAGCTGAACACCTCTCTGGAAAAACAGTCCTCAAAGAGCATTTGCTAAGAATAAATACAGCCACACACAGCACTAATGCTAGAATTGCTTAGAGAATTAGAAGAATGAGAGACAAGAGACTTAAGAAAGCAGGAGCAGCAGCTGAAACCAAAAGCTAAGAATTACTACGATCTTCACATCTTTACACAAAACAGTTTGTTTCCTATGCAGTTTTGGTAGTCTGGAAAAATAAGGCACATTGTTTCCCTTCTTTTAGACCAACTCCATCTACTCACTGTGCAGGTCTGGCATGACAGCAAGATGCCATCAATTTAGGAGCTGGGAGGGGGAAAGGAGAAAATACTCATCCAAGCATAGTATAGCACTGCACTGCACCCTCTACACAACATGGATGTACTATAAGAACATATGGGCAAGAATATAATTCAGAACAAATCTCACAGAGGAAAACAAGTGGGAGGGTTTAAAGGGAACAACTTTCTCATTTGAAAAGCTCCAAAAAAATCTAAGCCCATTCATTCTCAAGACACTCACCATCACAGGTTGGTGTAATACCTATTTGCTTCGAAGTTGTTTAACAGTCCAATGATTAAAGTTTGTCTGTGCTTCTAAGCAAGAGTTAATGATGAAGAAACACTGAGGACTTTGTGATTTCTCCACTCGAAAGACCTTATGAAGCTAGCCTTGCTATAAACACAGTAAATGGCTCTTATATGATCTGCCAATAGAATGGTTGAACACTGAACAGAAAGCTAAGAAAGGGGGAGAAAGAGAGGTCATGCTATAAACCATGAGAGATTATTCCAAGTATCCCAAGGAACTTGGGGAAACACAAGAAAACAATGGTTTTAAAGTCTAAACTTTCATGAAAAATACTTTTTTTTTAAGAAATTGCCATACGTACCCCAGAAGCTGACAACAGCAGATCAGGACAGTTGGGTATTACAAATATTTTGCTTACAAACCTAAAGGGAAAGCAGTCAAAAGTTGAAATCTCTTGAATGACACTCTGGTCTTTAAATATACACAGTAAGTGAAAACATTGATTTCAAAGAGAACCTTATAATAAACAGATTCTCCACATCAAGCTAATGAGGAGGAAGAAAAAATGTGTCCACAGCACTTAATATAGTGTATATATACTACATGATCTATTGACTTGCTACTTAACAGAAAAAAAATATTTCCCCATCTGCACTCAAGGAATTCTACTGATTTCCTCCTGCCTGAGAACATTGCCATTTAGACCAAAAAATACCAATGGAGACATATTTACTCAGGTACCATGTTCTCAAGCCATGACGCAACATTAAAAACGTGAATCAACATAGTATAACAGGATACCAGGTTGGAAGGGACCTCAAGGATCCTCTGGTCCAACCTTTTTAGGCAAGCATGACGTAGATTAGATGTCTCAGCACCCTGTCCAGCCAAATCTTAAAAGTGTCCAGTGTTGGGGAATCCACCACTTCCCTGGGGAGATTATTCCAATGGCTGGTTGATGTCACTGTGAAAAATTTTCCTCTTGTGCCTAGTTGGAATCTCCCTTGGAGTAACTTGTGCCCATTACCCCTCCCCTTTTCCACGTGACTCCTTGTAAAAAGGGAGTCTCCATCTTCTTTGTAGCCACCCTTTAAGTACATGGTGATAAGGTCTCCCCTGAGCCTTCTTTTCTCAAGGCTGAGTAAACCCAGTTCTCTCAGCCTTTCCTCATACGGAGGCTTCCCAGTCCTTTAATCATCTTCGTGGCCCTTCTCCGCAGCCTGTCCACACCTTTTTTGTAGAGTGGGGACCAAAACTGGACACAGTATTCCAGATGCAGACTGACAAATGTGAAGTGGGATAACAACAACTTTATCTCTGCTGGTGATGCTCTTGTTGATGTAACCCAGCATCCTGTTGGCTTTTAAAACGCAATGATGACGACCCAGCTTTCAGAGTACCACATTTCTCTCATTACAGTTGGAGATCATTCAAAAGCAATCTTTACAAAACTTTAAAACAAGCATGTGGCAATTTACCACCAGTGTTTACATTCACCCAGAAACCTCGGTTTTGAGAAGTACACAATACTGTTGTGTCTACCATGACTTGTCTTTGACAAGTAATGCAGACCTGAACTTCGGGAGTTCATTATTATCTTAATGCTAAAGAACTTAAAACACAGTGACCTGAGCAGAACATTTTCTGAGTGGAACAGTCTTGCTTTTGAAAACAGGCAAAGTTTTCAGGCAATAAAATAAAAGAGAAAGATTTAAAAAAAAAAAAAAAAAATAGAAGGAAGAGATGTGGTCACTTTCATGACAAAGCAGTAATGGCAGGTGCTCGCAGGCACAATAGATCCAGCAAGAATCATCATGCACTGCACAGAAAGAAGAAAATCCATGAGCATGAAATAAGACAACATTATAGCTGCTTTATGTAATGCTTTGTTTAATCATTCCTAACTTCAATATTGAATTGTTATGTATATTACAATCAGTTCAAGTGCCTTTCCACTCTGCAGCCTTAACTCTTTGGCAGACACAACAGTCCCCTTTAAAAGTCTCTTTACAAGTGTCTTTCTGATCAACAAGTTCTATTTATTAGAAAGTAAAACTGTACACAGTGGGGGAAACATAAGACATGGCTCTGTAAAGAAGCTATCAAAACTGACCTGATCGAAGACTACTTAGATCTTTAACACAAGTAGTCTCTTGCTTTTATACTATACCAGTTCTGCAGGTCAGACTACAAAATGATCTTACCAAAACCACACTGACACTCTAAATTAATCTGTGTCCTAAATGCTTTATTAAAACACCTTAGTGGGCAAGTTTAGATAGGTTGCTAAAGCTATCCCAAGTTCCCCAGTCACACTGGCTTTCTTTCACTCCTGTTTCTGATACAGACAGTGGACTGCACCATGTCGCATCATCTTATGGAAGAATGAGCCTAGAAGGGTGCTTTTATCCCCGGGTAACTCAGCATCCCCACAAGCAGAATTAGGTGCGTTCTCCACCCTGTGCAGGGTCACACCTAATGAGAAGGGCCTTCACTTGAGGATGGAGAAGAAACGAAAGATCATCCTTCCCACTTTATCCAGAGTGAACCATGCATTTTATTAGACTTGGTAACACAGCAGCACATATTTCTACAGGGATGTCCCTATGATCCACCTACCACAAATGGTTCTACATGTCTTTGCGTTCTTGCCCATAGCAATAGAACCAATCTCAAGAAAAATACCACATTAAGAAGCATGATTCCTTGAATCTCCTTTATGTGACCATTCTGCAGCCCCTAGCTCACTGCACTCTCATGTCCAGGCAGAAAGAGTGCTCTATCTTTCCTACTGATACAGCTGTGGTTTTATTATATCACCACAGAACCTCCAAGTCTGACCTCTGCATTGAGATGCTGTTAGATTACTGTCTGTTCAAACCACAAATACTTACTAAGACTTCCCTTCCTAAGACTGAAAGTAGGCTTCATCCTGAACTAATGACCTCCAGGCTCTGGAGTCTCTTATAGCTAGCAGGCCGAGGAAGATAATCTGCCCATCTGCTCTGCTCTGCTGAGACTCCCATCCAGCTGTACAGTCCTTAATACAAGGCATAGACCTGTTGAAGCAGATTCAGACTAGATACAAGGAAGACATCTTTTATAATGAAGGTGGTGAAACACTGGCACAGGTTGCCCAGAGAGGTGGTAGATGCCCCGTCCCTGGAAACATTCAAGGCCAGGCTGAATGTGGTTCTGAGCAACCTGATCTAGCTGGAGATGTCCCTGCTCATTGCAGGAGGGTTGGTTGATGACTTTAAAGGTTCTTTCCAACCCTAAACCATTCTACGAGTCTACCTCAGATCTAGCTATTGCTTAATATGATCTGAGGAGACAGTAATTTCATCCTCTGAGGAACAGTGAAGAGCTGCACACAGTAACTTTTGCACACAACGAACTTACTCTCTGTGTCCCAGACAGAAGGATACAATATAATACGGAGCCTTTGCCAAGCTGACTCTGATCTTCTCATCTCTGTCTGCAGTTAGGATGTATCGGTCATCAGGACTCAGCGCCTGTTGGTGAAGAGAGAGATTTAGTGCCCAGTAGTTCAATGCTCATTTTAATATAATTCTTCCTAACCAGAAGACATAAGCAGTAAACTATCTGTTTCTTCTGACTCTGAGTGGCAGGTGCAAACATTAACCCATGCTTTTCTACCGACAATGGAAATATAAATCTTATGACAGCGACTTTCTCATTTACTAAGACAAGTGACACTGACTACCCCGCCTAGTGAAAGACACTGAGCTGCAACAGTACAGGTGGAAGTTCCACCACATCTCTAAAAAGAAACAAACTTACCGCACTGAAGAGCAAAACCAACATGACAGACTGGGTGAATTCCCATATACATCCATTACCAAGTCTTCAGTGACTGCAACATGAAGACTTTTTGAACGCTCACGCTCCAAGAATACATAACCCTTTGGTAAGCTTGTTTCTTTACCAAACTCTGCAGACACAAACTTGGCACCAAGAAATCCAAACCACATACTTCACTTATATAAAAAGTAACTCCCAAATCTGGGACAAGAGCAACAATGAAAGATTTTTAGGAATGCAGGTTTGTACACTAACTACACAGAGGCACATACTTACAACATCCAGTAGCAGAGACAAGTGACCTAGCTCAAGTTTTCCATCTGCCTGGGGTTCTGTTATTGAGTAAGAATAGACATCACCAGACTTGTCCGCAACCAGAATCTTATCCTCTGCAGCTGTAATAATCAGGGAAGTACATCTCCTGGTCACGCACCTGAAAGAAAAACAGCACGGTTTGAACAGCTCTGAGTGGCACCTACAGCAAGTCTGGATTCAGACCCAGCTAAACAGAGCAAGAGACATAAACTTCTCGAATGCACCATTCTTGAAATGGCAGCAGTAAGAATAATGATAAGGGAAGGTACGAGCCAAAACAGCCCTTTTAAGACCTATTAAATGGCTAAACTATGTAATAGCAAACAGCAGGGGGGTGGGAGTTAAAAAAAGGAGAGACCATTAAAACTGCATGCCTGCACTTTGCTTAGGTACTTTCTCAACTGAGCATTTTGCCTAGGCAGCCTGCCAGTACTCTACAGAAAGCTGACAGACTTTCTTGCACTCTCCACAATAAAAATAAAAGTTAAACACATGGAAAATAGAAGACAATATCGTTCTCCTAGTAAGTCCTTTGCAGCAAGACATCTAGAAACTGTGCTGAAACTACTACTCCAGTTGACAATTTTTACTATAAAGGGAAGCCCTTCTTTATGAGCCTCACAGACTCTTCCTTCTTGCATCTAGAGTCAGAGAGACACAGCCTCAGGATACCTTGTCCAGGCAAAGCCCTAAGCTTGAACGCTGACTTCCCCTCGTCACCTGCCAGTATCTTAAAGTTCCAGTTGTCAGTGTAGCAGAAAACAGTTTTCTTATAACTCTTCAGATAAATATAAGGACCATACATGTCAGACAAGCAGTTTCAAAAAAGGTTTCATCACTTACTGTGGAGAATGCTTCTGCAACTTAACAGCTATTGTTAGTACTGTTATTTTTTGCTTTCTGTAACACCTCTTTTCCAAACCTTTCTATGTCCTATATGTTAACACAGGATGGTGGACGCCAGGGATCATAGGGAATGGACATTTTTATTCACCTACTGTGAAATTCAGTGACCGCCTGGAGGCAACAGAACAATATACTGTACTTCCGGTAGGAAGACAGAATTGTAATACTTTTTAGTGACTGCTTATAAAGGAACAAAGAGAAAAAGTATAGGACAAGAATGCCTACTAACACATCACAGGCTCAGGCAACACAGTTTCAAAACAGGTTACTTTGCCAACAAGAAAAAGACTTGCACCAAGTTCACTCTACGGCCTTTGATATTAAGCACAAAGATTCAAAAGTTCCTCATCTGAAACAAGCCGACTACAAAAGCACTACATGAAACCTCTTATACAGCTTACCACAGAATACTAATGCAAGCTACATAGCTCAACTTTGGCATTCATTTTTTCATGCAGTGACTCTTTTGCCTGTATTCCCAGTTTCCTAACAGGAGGTAGTGACATTCCCAAATGCAAAAAAAATGCAGCTGTGGTTGATCTCAGCAGAAAACTGAAACATCAAACAATTATCCAACCGCGTATTACGGGAAGGACATAACACAGCAGAGCAGCGGGGAAGACAGAAAACAGAATGAACAGAAATTTGCCCTTTCTGGTTTTCTCAGTGATTATTTACTCACTGTAACAGTGGTTAACCCACCAAAGGTCCATCATATACCTACCACACACAGAGCCAAGCTGACAAAGACTCCATTTTCTTTTGCAATTGGGGTCTCACATTTGTTAGAGACCACCAGAAAGAGACATCACATGCTGAGGCACTTTCTCAGGAAGTCCTTCATGATCCTCTTTACGGATAACTGTCACAAGCAGCAGCAGAAAAGTTGAAACTGAAGGACCTCTAGTGGACAGCTACAGACTGTCTTCAAAGAAGACTGAAGGACAACAATTGCCAGCATCTCTAAAGATGTGCTTTTAAGAGATTTCTCAAACTCCCCATAACATCTTCTCCTCCAAACCAACAGAAATGGACAGTGCACTCGTTAAACTTGCCACTATCGCTCTTACAGGTCCACCCTAATGTTCACGAGGCACAGGTAAAGTTTCAGGTCTTAAAGATGCAAATACTGTCTTTTGGAATAAGAAAAGACATTATCCTTTCTTCGGCCAATGATAGAAACATATGCACTCCTGTTCTTGGCATGGGGCATAGCATGTGTCACTTCTTGACAAGTATCTTTGAATTTCCAGGAACATTACATTTGTTTGAGCAAGTACAAGGTAAAAAAAAGGTAGCTTAGTGACAACAAATGGCAACATCCCAAGTACCACTATTTTATAACTCGAAATTAACCAGCCATAACTCCATAACAAAGTGACATGCAACACCCTACTTCCTTACCTGATGCTAACACATTCCCAGGAAGGCTTCGTACGGAACAGAATCAGACGTTTATTGTCATCTGTTAAGGCAAAATAATCTCCTGATGGGGAGAAAGCAAAAGCTAGGATGTCATCACTTCCTTTATCTGTCTGTTTTCCATCTTGCCTAATAGAGAGAAGAGAAACCACAGTTCACAACCTGAGAGTTACCAAAATCCTTAAAAGAAGGTTGCTGTCACAACACCAAGAAGGAGCAGAAAGAATAAAGTACAGCTCTAAAAGTTTTATTTGTGGTTAAAATGTTGGGCCAACTTGAACAGTAATGCAAAGACAAAAGCCAAAAAAAGGGAAACTGATATAAAGACTAAGTCTGTATTGTTATCTGCTAAAAACCAAACAAACACCGCACAAAAAAACCAAACAATGAAACAAAAGCAACACTAGGGTTTGTGCTAGCAGATCTTGATACAAATTTCAGGGAAATTAGTGAAATTGGATACAGGTAAAACAATGTCCAGTGGTTGAATTTAAACCAAGAAAGAGACTTTTTCCAAGTTTTGAAATCTCATGACTTACAGAACAGACCTGAAGGATGAGTTATGTAACTGGTTTGTGGGTTTTTTTCTGACTTAGATGGTCTAATAAGAAATGCAGCATTTTTCCATAGCTGTCTTGATTGAGAAGAGTCATACAGAATCATGGATTAAACTACTGATGTTTCTCTAAACAAGAAAAGGAGGTAGCCACTCCTCTGGGATGGAAAAGAAACAAAACAATAACATGTATATCCACCAGGGTTAGCAAAAACACCATCACCTGATAGAGGAGTCATCCTGTGAATTTCTTTTATCATCTTATAATTTCATCATTTTAGTATTTTTACCATTGTTTTTATCATCTTTCTTATATTATTATTTCATCACAATCACATAATCTCAGGAGAAGAGGCACCCTCTAGGAAAACAGCAGATTACCTAAGCAGATTTTCTCACCCTTGATTTCCCAAGGTGGGCTTCTCCGCATTGATGCAATCGAACACAAAGAGACCATCATCACTGCAAACAAAAAACCAACAGACTAGAACCACTGGAACTAGAACACCCATGTGCTTAACTGTGAACAGCATCAACTCCTTTTGTAACATGCTATTATTACTCTCCTATTTCTGTAACATGCAGAGGTACCACCTCCGCCAAATGGGCTCCCAATGAGCTACAGAAGCAGAAGTTTAAAACCTTGGATTGCACATGCATACCAAAAAGAGAAATTCTCAACCGTGGCAAAGTAACCATGTATTCTGCATCTAGGAGAGGTTTAGACTGGGTATTAGGAGAAATTTCTTCACAGAGAGGATGCTCAGGCATTGGAACAGGCTGACCAGGAAAGTGGTGGAATCACCATCCCTGGAAGCATGCACAAACCATATAGATGAGGCCCTCAGTGACATGGTTTAGTGTTGGTCTTGGCAGTCCTGGGGTAACGACCGGACTTGATGATCTTAAAGGTCTTTTCCAACCTAGTTGATTCTATACGTTACTTTTGTCAGACTCGACGCATTTGCCACTAGCATTTACCCATCTGTGGGTGCACAATCGTGCCAGAAAACCGTCGAGACTGAAAAGCTCAGAAGTGTCATTTCAGTTAACAGAGAAGGCTGCCGAGAAACGCCTCAAGACCCGCGCCCGGCCGTGCAAGGACTCTCCCGAGCAGCAGCATCAGAACCCCCTGCACTATCCCACCACCTCCCCCGGCTGCTACAGGCGGGAAGGCCCCGTCACC